AGAACTGATCTGACTCAGCTCAGCCACTGAGGCAGGGAGAGGAGGGTAAGGTGGGATTGGCCTCTCCCTGGCAGCCTGATTTCAGATCCACTGGAGCTGAGCCTGGAGCTGCATCCTCATTTTCATGAGGCTGCCCCTGCATTTGTGTGTCTGCAGTGATCAACTTATGCTCATGTGCAGCTGTTGGAAGACAGAGACAGCAGCACAAAGCAGGTTAATAACCCTTCCTCCTACAATTACCTTTAAATTTTACCCCATTAAAAGCACAAGCAGGAAGGCCTAAACTAAAACCAGCAGCTCAAAAACCCCATAAACCCTTAAATTTAAATATAAACTACTCACCTTTCTGCCTGTTTCAAAAAAATGAACGAATTTTAAATGAAAGTTTAAAAATCCCAGTTTAGGAAGCAGTGAGTTAATCAAAGGAGTCAAGGCCAGGCAGTGGATGGACACTGTTTATTGGTTCTTTCCATCACATCTGAGTTACAGGTGTAAAAGTCACACAAACTGCAAGGTATAAACATGTAAAACAATACAAAAATAAATGGAAAGGTCAAATTTTATCTTTTACTGACTCGAAGTAGTGTAATAAATACGAGAGGCAAAAAGCTTCAATCACACCATTCAGCTGAACTGAAGTTACAGTAGTGTTGGTAAAGAACACGTGTGGGTTTTTGTTGTTTTTTATTTTTTTAACTTAAAGTTGCAAATATTAAAGCATTGAGAACTAGTATAAAAGTGAATTTTGGCACGTTGTCAAGTGAGAAGTGTTACATCTGAGTGCTGTGGAAAACAAAAAAAAAGAGCTTTCTGAGGTACATCTTGAACAATCTACGATGAGATCGACCACGTGGTTCTACCAACTCACAGTTTATACAATTCACTATACTAGCCACAATTTATTTTTTTTTCTTTTCCCTTTTTCAGAAATACCAAAGTATTCCAGAGCTTAAATTTTCTGTGCAAATTCAGACAAGTTTTCCGTTAAAAAATAACGATAATTAAAAATAAAACCAAGCAAAACAACAACAACAACAAAAAAAACCAACTTATGAGGGAACTTAACAGGCAACTCAACTGGCAACTCAACTCCCCCCTGCAACCGGTTGTGTTAATGCAAAGTGTAAAAAAAAGTGGATTAAATACCAAATTGCACGGATTAATATCAAATACTCCCGGATTGCAGAGCAGCTCAAGCTGCAAAGGTTCCTCTCCTAAGTTTCTCACATTTTCATTTATTTTTTATTTTTTTTTTTTTCTCCCTATAACTTCAGTAACTTCTGATCACACTCATTCCTGGTGAGGAGAAAGAAATAAAAAAACACCACCACAAGCTGCTCACGTGGAGATCAGCGAAGCGTGGAAACCCCTTGAGGACTCTCAGCACTTTTTTTTTGTTCCCAAGGATCACAAAAAAAAAAATGCCTGGACACAAATTTTCCTGACACGTTAAAAGAGAAAGGAAGTGTAATGGCACTTTTGCTGTATCCAAACATTGGTGGGTTCAAATGGTGCTTTTTTTTGTTGGTTTTTTTTTTTTAAGTCGTACAGTAGCTAAAAATATTCAAAAATTAGATCCTTGGGAGTCGCTCCATCCTCACCTCGACTTCCAGAGAGGGAGGAATCAGATTCCCCCTTGGATGGGGGTCGATACAGTACAAACAGCTCTGACCAGAGTACAAAAGTTACACTTTTCTATAAAAAAAACCACAGAAGCTCTGCTGATTGTTCAGAAATAACCCCCCAACAATCAGCAGCCGCTCTTAAATATCAGCAGCATCAGGCATTGACACATTTTTAGTCCTCAAAGAGTTTTCTTTTCAACAGTTTAACCAGTTGTGCTATATATCTGTCACTAGGTTAAATTTGTTAAGTCCTTTCACCGAAACTGTTTTTCCTTTAAAAAAAAAAATGGGGGGGGATTCGACCCCCCCCCACCCCGACACTCATTTATTTGGGGAATAAATGGTGTCACTCCAAGGCACTACAACGTTTTTCAAGGATACCAACTGTCACAGTTTCACTATTTCAGTATTTTTTTTTCTTTGTTTGTTTTGTTTGAAATTCTGGTTGAAAAGTCACAGTTCAAAAAAAAAAATAAAAAGTAAAAATTGAGGTAATTTCTTTCAATACCAAAAATACATGAATTGAGTTATTTCTCAGTCTGGTGAAAGGTCTTTTTTTTTTTTTTGTAAATACACAGCTATGACCATGAACATGCAGCACAGCAGAGAAGGATACTAGGCCTTTATTCCGAGCTCTCCTGCTCCAGTTTTTAAGGAACAGCTCAATTTGCACAATAAAAACACCCAATTTTCAATATTTATTTCCTTTTCTTCTTTGTTTTTTGTTCACAGGGCTTTGGAATCCCAGCTTGGATCAGCCCCATCAGCATGGATTTGAAAGCTTGCACAAATTGGAGTTCTTAAAAAGAGTTCAGCAGAGCCCCAGCAGCTACAGCATCTTCATCTATTTTTCAAACAATTGCACTTAAATCTACTCTTTTTTCACTCAGGAGTCGAGACAAAGCTTCCACCACAAAGTCCCAACCTCTGGAATTTCTTCTGACATTACACAGTCATCCCACTAACTCTAGAAATATGGCTTTGCAGATGAGACAACCGGGGCTGGAAAAGGAGCAGGTCGATGAGTTTTATCGGCGACACAACTCTGAATTTGATTTCGATTCCCTAACGCCCCCTTTTTATTGCAGCCAGGATTGGATAACTCCAGGAATTCTGGAATCAATAATTCCATCTGTTTTAGCTGTGAACACCTGCCAGCCCTCCCCTCCCCACCCCCCAAATCCACTGCTTTGCTACCTCTGCTCTACAGGCACTACAGGATATTAAGACTATAAAGTTTAGCCATGCATAGATAAACTCACGAGCCTTCTCAGGATGCTCCACCCCTGGGATCCAGGGAATATCCTGGGAAGCCTAAAACACAAACTAATTGCTGGCTTTTACTGGCCTCTAACAGGACACAAGGAGTTTATATAAAGTCTCGTGGTGTGCAAAAAAAACTTAAAACAATAAAGTCCTAAATTCGGCTTTTTAAATCTAGGGAGGGAAAACTGGGAATGAAACCCTAGCAACGTCTCCATCCCAGCCTGCAGCACCTGGAATTCCAGGGTGAAACCACCTAAAAGGGCTGAAACCACCTGAAAAGCGTTTCAGGTTATTGAAATTTCAGCCACCTCGTATTCCAAAGGTAAAAAAATCCATCTCTAAAGCGAGGCACAAACTGGAATCAGCCTTAGGTTGGATGGTTAAATCTCATTTTCCTGCCACGGAACGAGACTGTGCAGACACTTTGTAAGTATTTTAAATACTTCAAGAGATTTTTCGTTCCATTTCTCACTGTTTTACACAGAACTGACCAAAAAAATAAAAGTTACAGTTGTATTAAAAGACTGAACTGTCCCTCAGGGGCAGGACTATGAAAATAAAAAACCCTTCCTGGGCTCTTCCCACCTAAATTCTGACCACACCATCTGCTCATTCCAATTAGCTCCACTAATTAATACCTGTAATTAATACCTGTAAGTAGCTGCTGAGGTACTTTATAAACCTTCAGTCAGTGATTTACAAGGGCCTGACTTAAAATTAAACTGAGCTAAGTTAGGACAAGCTGCCAACATTCCTGTCGTAGCATTTAGGAACCATAAAACTCGATTTATATCAAATCCTTCTGGAAGCCCCACGAAAAACTTCCTCCCTGTTTCAAGTCCATCCTTTCCTATTTTTTACCTTTGGAAATCAGTGCTTTCCATGAAAAGGAATCCTTCAGCTAAAGGATCTCCCTCTTCCCTCACTTCGCTTATAAGGACTGGAATAAGCAACAGCAAGGTGTGGATGCAGCCCAGCCATGGAATATTTCCTGGAACCCCAAAAAGAGCACTGGGAAGAAATTAGGATTTCTCCACCGATTTCCCCCCCCCCCCCCCGAAATGTACAAAACCCTTTCCTTTAGAAAAGTGGGAATTTCGAGTGCAGATCAAACTGTGCAGAGGGTGAGACCTCCGAGGGCTGGAGTGTTCCTTCACTTCTCGCTTTGGGAACACCCCACAGCTGTGGGACTGGGGGCTTTTCTGAGTGTTCCCTCATTTCTCACTTTGGGAACATCCCGACAGCTGCAGGTTTAGGGATTCCAAGTTTTTGAATCCTTCCCCCTTTCTCACTTTGGGAACAACCTAAAAGCTGTGGGATTAGGGATACGTCTATATTTTTCCCAGTGTTCCCCCATTTCTCACTTTGGGAACACCCCACAGCTGTGGGATTGGGGACTCTTCTATATTTTTCCCA